TACATGGAAATCTTGTATGGCTTTATGAACTAAGTTTCAATTTTGAAAAAAAATATATCTAAACTTTTATGTTTTATTTTGCTACAATTTAACAGACGCACACATATTCTTGATACGAGACGAGAGAGTCGTCTTTCAATTTGTTTGAAGCGTTTTATTTGAAGGCTATATCAAGGGTTCCTAGTGTATCAAAGAGCCTTATAACGCATGGTTTTGTCATCCGAGCCTAAAAAATGTAATTAGGAATCGTTCAATCTAACCCTTCTCCCCATTTCTTGTAAAATGCTTGCGAACTGCATTTAGTAAAGTGGACTATGAATGCTTGCAACTCTTAAGTGGACTATCATTGCTAGCAACTGTTAAGCGGACTATTATTGCTTGCAACTGTTAAGTGGACTACCAATGTTTACATCCGTTAAGAGGCCCATCGATGATTGCAACTGTTAAGTGGACTATCATTGATTGCAACTGTTAAATGGACTATCAATGCTTGCAACTCTTAAATGGACTATCAATGCTTGCAACTGTTAAGTGGACTACCAATGTTTACATCTGTTAAGAGGCCTATCAATGATTGCAACTGTTAAGTGGACTATCATTGCTTGCATCTGTTAAGTGGACTATCATTGCTTGCAACTGTTAAGTGGACTACCAATATTTACATCTGTTAAGAGGCCTATCAATGATTGCAACTGTTAAGTGGACTATCAATGCTTGCAACTGTTAAGTGGACTACCAATGTTTACATCTGTTAAGAGGCCTATCAATGATTACAACTGTTAAGTGGACTATCAATGCTTGCAACTCTTAAGTGGACTATCGTTGCTTGCAACTGTGAGGTGGAATATCAATGCTTGCAACTGTTAAGTGGACTACCAATGTTTACATCTGTTAAGAGGCCTATCAATGATTGCAACTGTTAAGTGGACTATCATTGCTTGCATCTGTTAAGTGGACTATCATTGCTTGCATGTTTACCAATCATCTGTTAAGAGGCCTATCAATGATTGCAACTGTTAAGTGGACTATCAATGCTTGCAACTGTTAAGTGGACTATCATTGCTTGCAACTGTTAAGTGGACTATCAATGTTTACATCTGTTAAGAGGCCTATCAATGATTGCAATTGTTAAGTGGACTACCAATGCTTGCAACTGTTAAGTGGACTATCAATGTTTACAACTGTTAAAAGGCCTATCAATGCTCGTAATCTCTTCAAATTTAGCTAACGTTTGTCTGTTTTTTTCATTCTCTGTGAGACTTATTTAAACGTCCTATTCGGTATTATTTAATTTCAATATTATCGTTCCGGATTCAACTAGAATAGATTTCCACTAGTCTCTATTAATATCCAATCAAATCGAGGCCAAATATCTCAACTTTCTGCTACAGAGTCTCAAAGTATTTCAGTCGACATTTTTAAGTATACAAAGAATTAATATAGAATTACTCGTCCTATTAAACGCATTAATGTCAAATTACCGATTCTCAAATCGTGACCTGGCATTAGTTCAGAGTCTTTTACTATTTGCATCAACAGCATTTATATTACATTAACATTTAAAGAACAAACGTTATTAACTATCCAGAAACTTTCTGAAAAGTTAACAAAATTATCACGTTTTAAGATAAGTTAATTGGAGAACCGCTTGATAGCATTTTTTGCCAAGCATTTGAAAATATTTTATCTATATTGGAAACCTTATCAATGCCTGTTTATTTATTTAATAATGAACATATGGCAGTTGCTACAGCAGAGAGTGTTGCCAGTTTAATCGTCATCAGCAGAAAAAGTTTTATTCAGGTTCGAAAACATTTCCAATAAAAATCAAAATAATCCGTATAACAGGATTTGGGATAAGCAGAACCCTACATAATCTACACTTGTTTTTGGTTCTTTTGTTCACGATTGACCCTTAAATATGGTGTGTCAGACGCTGATAATTACTGCAAGCATTAAGGAATACCCTGATCCCCTTTAGTGTAATGAGGAGGTAGTGTACCGATTTCCAGAGTTCAAACTCTATTAGACAATTGAATTTCAGAAACATTTTATCTGAGAGTCTTGGCTCTTTGTTAAGTAATTTTATATCGCCAGCATAATACATGTATTTTATAATCAGAAGTTGAATCTGTATTTTGGATTTTATAAGAATGTCTATCTCTTGAAATAAAGACTTTGTTAACAATTTGATTTCGTTTTGTTTTTCGGAAAGAAAAACAAATGTAAATATTACATTTGGCCGTGGTGTGGTGTTTTAGTAAGTCTCATAACAATTTTATTCATGGCCTATTAAGACAATGTCCGTATTCCCCGCCCATAAATATTTTGTCAGATTTAGGATCTATTTATTGGCCCTGTATACTTCGTTGCATGATTTTTAGCAGGGTAATAAGCGACATAAAATAATCTGTCAAAGTTCTGCTTCGCTTAAACGGCGTAAAATAACGTGGTTATTTTTATCTTTAAATGTTTTAATTTTATAAATTTTATTTGCTTAAAATAATTTTTGTTTTATTCTCTGACATCGAAAAGATTATTACCGTATTTTCTTGTGTATAATACGCATTGTGTATACTACGCCTGGATTAATACAACCTCAGAGTACAACCATCCCTAAGTAACGGGATAAACTCTCATGACATCGTTATTCATCAGTAGTATTCTCTGGATCCTGATGATGACACCATACTCGAAACGTGGAAAATCTTTGGATGCGTGTCAAACGTAAATTGCGTTGACAATTTTGAACTTCTGAGATGTTTTTCACGTTGCATCTTTACGAATTCGTCAGCGTTTCAAGAACAATTTATTTGCTGTGTACTCCTCCATTACCCGTTGTAATAATGTTTAATCGTAATAAACGTTTATACCTTGGTATTATTGATTTTAAACCGTACAGGCAATAGCAGTTTATTTTACGCCGCTCAAGATTACCTTTACTAGTTTATCAACTGAATATTTGCTTTAGAATTAGTTTAAAATTGTTTCCTGTTACTAAAGCGAAATCTCAATTAACAGGCCGAGATATATTTAAAACGGTGTAATTTGTCATTTTATAAAAACTGCATTTTTTTAATCATTTCACCCTAAATAAAACAATAGTGCCACAAGTACGCAAGGGGTTACTGGAAGTGAAAGAGAATGAGAAGACTTTAGTTTAGAGAAATGAGGAGAAAGGACAATAAAAGAATCGAATTATCTACTGTTAAAAGTTTCCATTGGCCAGGATGATAGAGATTTAATATTTTTTTTTTTTACTTATTCGTTTCAGATAGCACGGCAAAATAATTACTAGTGTTATGGAAATTACAAGGAGGAACAAACAAAACAGAATTGGTGGGACAAGAAATGGTACAAATTATTTAGGTCGACTCGTAGAAAGACATCTCTATCAAAATCTGTAAGTTCACAAAATTCCTTGCATTTCTTTCTTTTTTTTTCTTTCTTTTTTTTTTTTAAAGGGCTTACCAGATTTTAGTTTTTACTTTTGCCTCATCAACAAAACATTTCATGAAAAACTTTTAAACAGCAACCTTATTCTTCCAAAGGTCATAAAAAAACCTGCAAGTTATATAGTATGATGACGAATTTTAATAACACAAAACACGGAGAAGTTAGCCGACAACAGTCACGATTCACACAATCTCTGTATACTATATAATACAAAACCTAATTATACATAAACCAGGAAGGTGTGGTTGGTCACGCGACTAGCTTACCGTAAGTTACTCCGTAGACAAGCAGATTATCTGTCTTCTACAGGCAATTTTCAAAATTGCTTCCAATTTGGATTATTAAAATTTGTGAGTAAAAAAAATAGACATCGAAAAGATTATTACCGTATTTTCTTGTGTATAATACGCATTGTGTATACTACGCCTGGATTAATACAACCTCAGAGTACAACCATCCCTAAGTAATTCTTATTAAAGTTATACAATATTATCCATTAAAATCTCAATGTCCTGCATATTTTTTAATAAAATATTTAATTTTTCACGATATTAAAGAAGAGAAATGAACCGGAAGTTTAACCACTGCGTATTTCTTCCAATTTCCGTTTCAAAACTTTATTTTCGAATTTTCAGTTAAAGGTTCAAACTAAACATACCCGGTAGTACATTTTAAGGTGTTAATTAATCATACTTTTTTGTTTGATATAATTTTATTATATTTCTATATATTAATAAACTATCAAAATAAAAAAAAATATATATATTGTCTTTCATTAAGAATGAAGAGAGAAACAAATATGGCCGACATATCAAATAACTTTTGTAAACGATTGTTATCAACATCTGCCTACTTTGTGTTTTATTCTCTATCGTGTTGAGTGTATTTGCAATCTTTCTGTTTCAAATAAGAAGGTATTTTTTAAACTGAAAATTCTGAAAAACCTGTATAATGCAACCTCATTTTTTGTCGTTGATTTTCGTTCAAATTTTCTTATATACAAGAAAATACGGTAATGCTGTCAAAGTTTGAAATATGAAGCGAGGTAAAAATATATCACCAGGATACATTTAAGAATTCGCCTTAGTCTTTACGGACAGGAAAAGAAAAAAATGTTCGTGTTTAAATATTTGTGTCTCTATGTATAAAGTTTTCTTTTTTTTGTTTGTCTGTATGGTTCTTTTTTTGTTTACTTTTATTTTAGTTAAGGATAATGAAAAAAAGCCCTGGGGTTAAATGAGTCTGATAGTTTTTTTCTCTCTCTCTCTCCCTGTTCGTCAGGGCTTAATTTCGAGCCACAAAGTGGAAAGTGTGGGGTGGGGGTTAAAGAAAAGTTTAAAACAAAATTCTTCGCTTCGTTGTCACCTCCCAATAGCTGACCCTATTACATGAGGTTTCATGCCTTTCTGCGATTGTTATTTGGTCAATGGAATTATTTTTTTTATTAATATTATTTTTATTTATAAAGTTTTTTTTTCTCTCGCTCTCTTCTCTCAGCAACGATATTCGGAATTGTTCTCTTGGCTTGTAACGTCTGCAATCATTTACTTGCATGTGCTCAGTTCAACTCGTTTCGTGCACGCGTCGCACTTCACATAGCAGCACCACACGTACTGACACCTGCACCGTTCTGATATGGTCCGAACGAAAGTGTGGTAGCCTCGACCACAACACATAGTCCTACAGCCACCACTGCCTGACTTGTTTTTGTCGCAAAATCTGAAATAAATAAGAAAAGATATATTTTAAATAAAGTCACATCATTTCATTTAAGATTCGACTACTCGAAGACATAAAATGTCATTTTATTTAAGCTTATTCACCTGCCTTGAACAGCAGACAAAAAGAGTTCACAATAACGCTTTTTTTGACGTCATTCATCAATTTATCATAAAAGACTCGTGCTTGATCTGATATTTTCCCATAAAATAACATCATATTCAGTCATGGTATTCAAGCGGTTCACGCGAACCGTTTATTAAAATTACTAACTTTTGAAAAACTGGCACTTAAATTCCCTTAGCCTCTGCGTCTTCTAGACGTAAGCGATCATGGCTCTCCACAACTTCCCTGTCGTTTTGTAGCTCTTAATAAATCTTGTCCTTTTGTTACCTCTCCTAAACCTTGCTTCGCCAGCCATTTATTCAAGCTCTCTACATAGGTTATGCGTTGATTTCCTCTCCCCCTCTTTCCTTCAATCTGTTTTGTGAGTATCAAATTTTCCAAGCCCTCTTTCCTCATTATGTGCCCCAGAAATTTTAACTGCCTCTTCCTAATGATTATGTGTCCTTTTCCTTCTATAGAACCATATTTCTGCTGCTTCAAGTCTCCTCTTCATCTGTAAGGAGACTGTCCAGCATTCATTGCTATATAGGAGGTCTGAGACTACAATTCAATACTCTTTTCTTTGTTTCTAACGATTTTTTTGTTTTTTTAATACTTTGCTTAAATCCTTAATTCTCTGAGAAAAATTGGCGATCATGTCTCTCTACAGCTTCCTTTTATCTTTCGCATCTGTGAATTCCCATGACTTCTCCTGAAAGATAAAGAAGTGGTTTCTTGCTGCTATCAACTGTTTTGAATTTAGAGTTGTCTTCCTGGACTGGCTGCCTCCCGAGGCTAGAAATCCCACTTTACCATGCTATTTAGCTGATAGGATATGAATTCTTGCCTTTTCCAGATGTAATAGTGCGAAAGTGAGCGCAACTACTTCCACTGCTCGCACCGATAATCGTTCCACTACACGCCAAGTTTTTGGGGGCAGAGAAGAATCCGTATTTAATCACCACACATCTCTATACATCACATATTGTCTCTGCCATTCTGTAATGATCGGAGCGGGTAATAATAATTGAATATTTTGTTCATCTATTATCAGCCTTGATTGATACCAGCAGTTAAAGGTACTAAGTTTTCTAGCAAATTAAGGCATCAATCACTCCTTAAAGAAAAAAAAATGATTATTAGATATTTCCTGGTAAAATGATTATTTTTTTTATTAATATTATTTTTATTTATAAAGTTTTTTTTTTCTACTTAAGACATGGTACTACCGTGAACCGAACAAATTAGCAACATAAGGCATGATACTAATGTGAACTGAATACAATATCGTAGAGGATAATGGCTCTCCACAACTTCCTGTCCTTTGTAGCTTTTAATAAACCTTGTTTTTCTGTTATTTCTTCTTAGACCTGTTCCGCCACCCATTTACCCAAGCTCACTAGGTATGTAATGCGTTGTTTTCCTCTGTACCTCTTGCCTTCTATTTGTCCCGGGAGTATCAGATTTTCCAAGCCTTCCTTTCTCATTATGTGCCCCAGAAATCAACTGTCTTTTCTTGATGTTGAATATAAGTGTCTTTTTTGTTTCCCTTTTCTCTAAGACGACGAAATTCTAAAGACAATGGCAACAAAAATGACACACACTTGATACCAGAGAATGAAAGTTGAAATGTCTAGGGCACATAATGAGGAAAGAAAGCTTGGGAAATTTGATACTCACAGGACAGATTGAATGTAAGAGAGACAGAGAAAAGCAACAGAAAACCTATCTGGCCAGCTTGAGCGAATGGATGTCGCAACAGGGTTTGGGAAAGCCAAAGGTTATTAAGTACTAGAAAGGTTAAGGAATCATGGAGTGCCATGATCGCCAACGTCATGAAGATTCATACTGTCCTGTTTGTAGTAAATATTGATATGCTATTTGGTAACGGAAGTGAATCAAAGAAAACACTGCAATCAACGAATATAATTTTTTCTTTTTTCTCTTCTTTAAAAGAAATGTTGGCATGTTACAAATGCTTTGTGCTTCTTTTTTTTTTTTAAAGTGAGACGCTTGTGCGGAGGAAAAATGTTTTTAATCAGAGCGTGAGAAATCAATGACAAGTGACTTTTCGCATAATTAACATTTAAATATTACCATTCCACCCTCCACCATTTTGTGGTAACACGCCAAAGACACATTTATACATTTTTAGAGCAGTCACATATTTGTTAGCAAAGCTGCTAACGACAATGTCTTCAAATGATACATAAATAATTTTTTTTTAACACGTTGACTGCCAGAAAACGCAAATGTCTGTCTTGTATATTGCTTTTGACGTACACTACATTTCAAAAGGTTGAAGCAACCCCTATTAATTTTTTAAATTGGCCCCAAAGGTAGTTGTTTTGTATTTTAAATAAGAGAAAATTATTACACAAGTTCAAAAAAGTGAATTTTTTTTATTAGAAATTTTATTATGACAAAAACTGAAAAAGCAGTTTATCATTAAATTTTGCTCTCGTCAAAATATCCTTCTTTAACCATGATTAATGCAGCACAAATCTTTTCTGAAAGTATAAGACTGATAATTGATTCTATTCTTTTTCCAATGATTCTAAGAGGTCTTTTTCATTTATTTTTTTCATTCTTCCGTCAAGTTTATCCTATGCTAATTCTGGGGATGGATTCAAAGTTTTGAACTGGAGTGATTTTCCAAACGTAGCTCAGATGTGGCACAAGGCCGACAGTATGTGGTACCCAGTGAGGATCGAACTCTCTACTCAGTCATAATTGTTCTAGCGAGACCAGCTATTACACCACGTCGAGATGCCCAAGTTTTGAAATGTAATGTACATGTGTGTCCATTCCACAGTAATATTAGTTTTATTTTCTAAAAAAAATCATTTCACTCCAAAGACGACAATGCCACTAGGACTCAAGGAGGTACAAAGAGTGAAAATGAATATGAAAACTTTTAAGTGAGGAGAAAGGACATTCGGATAGCGAAAGATGCTTTACAAAAGTTAAGTAAAGTATTAAGAAACAGGAAAATTTCATTAAAAACAAAGAAAATGGTACTGAAATATTATGGCGTATCAGGCCGCCTACATGGCAGTAGATGCTTGGCAGTCTCCTCAGAAATGAAGAAGAGACTGAAAAGAGAATGGATGCAACAAAAATGTGGTTCTACAGAAGGCCGAACATGTGATCAACGACGAAATTCTAAAGACAATAGCAAATTAAATTTAAGAGAAAATGGAAACAAAAAGCAAACTTATACTTAACATCAGAATGAGACAGTTGAAATTTCTAGGGCACATAATGAGGAAAGAGGGCTTGGAAAATGTGATACTCACAGAACAGATTAAAGGCAAGAGGAAGAGGGGAAAACGACGCATATCCTACCTAGCGAACTTGAATAAACGGATGGCGGAACAAAGGTTAGGAGAGATAACAAAAAGATAAAATGTATTAAGAGCTACAAAGGACAGGAAATTATAGAGAGCCATGATCGCCAACCCCCTGAAGGGATATGACACATAGAAAAAGCGGAATAATAATAAGAATATTCCGAAAAAGGTGGTGATTATTAGTATTTTGGTTTGAAGTCTAGATTTGTAGTAGCGAGACTCACCCAACTGGCACCTTGTTATTATAAATCCAGAAGGAAATATGAAAACCAGCTTCTCTTCCTGTTTCTTACAAATTTATTCGTTATTATTTTCTTCTTCATTTGATGAGTTCTAACAACTTCTCGGTCTGACCAGGGCATTAAAAAAAAAATGATGTTCTATGATATGGTCGGATTTTGCGAAATTGGTCGGGCTGAGGATTTTACCGTTGTATGTATAGAGTTACAGTTCTGTACGATGTCACAATAGCATGTCGATATTTTCTAAGATTAGTACACTAAGGACAAAAATGGGCGAGAAATAAAAAAAAAGATGATTGTGGCAGGCCAAACTTCTGAATGCTGAAATTCTGTACCTTGAAAATAGCCATTCAAAATCCTTGCTTTTAACTGGGTTCGAACACAGTAATTATGTGTAAAGAAAACGCACTTCTCTTCCATATTTTAAAGCCGGAAAGTTAGGTGTGCGTATTATAAATGAAAAGTAAATATCAACGTGTTTCCGGCCACGTACGACGCTATATTGGGGACAGTACGACCAAAAGTCTTTTCTATAATCCAAATCAATGTCTGACAAACAGTTTAAATCACTAAAAAAAAGTGCATTTGTTTTTTTTATAAATATTAATCATCGATAATAAACTCATTGTATTAGGCTTTACTGTTTTCCGTGTCAAAGCCATACTCCCCTGTGGAGTATAGGGTCAGAGCCCCCCAATGTTAGGTGCTACGGCAGTGGTTTCCCTAGCTGGTAAGTTTTTACAGGGTGGAGTCGCTAGCCCCACGCCTAATTGGTTTTCAATTCATAGCTGCTGTTCTACTAGATTGATTGTCAAACAAAGCTAGAGAGCTCAACCCGGCTTACTATTTAACCCTTAGCTAGGGACAGAAGAGATGGATTTTATACATTTTTCAAGGGTATATTTATATAATCCCGCTTCTCGTGCCAATAACCGCCACTTTGCGCAAGCACACATCCACTTATGGGACGACTTTTCCAGGTCAACAGAAACACGTGTGAATCGTAAGTAGGCAGTGTATTTTTTGAGAGGTTAATGAGGTGTGTACGTTTTATTATTTTGATATAAATAAATTTCTCACGTTGGATTACTGAGGGCGGTATACACATTCTGGCTGAGTCGGTGCGAGTAATCATTGGGTCTGTATGGTTTAAGGGAACTGGGAACTTTATGCGTTAAGATTCTCTATGGAGAAAAGACTTGTTCTCAGAATACTGAATTTCTTAATAGTACAGGTACACTCTAAAAACTGTATATTACTCTCTCTCTCTCTCTCTCTCGCTCTCGTGATTTGTAACACA